TATAGCCTTCTTTTAACTTATAGCTTAAAAATTCTGTGTATAATATAACACAGGTATTATACTTATTATTAGACTAACATTAGAATCCATGTTCTTACTGAGTGTGGTAGGCAGGTGCCTTCTAATTCCAGCATTTAGAAAGCTGAGGCAGGAGGATTACTGCAAGTTCCAGGCCAGCATGAGTCACATGGTGAGTTCAAGGTCAGTGTGGCATATATAGTGACACACTGTCTCAACAAAAAAAAGAGGGGGAAGAATGATTTACTTGTTTTAGGCTTTCAGAAATCAGTCCATGGTGGGCTGGCTCCAAGGCAGAAACTTCACGATGAAAGGGAATGGAGCAGAACTGCTCACTTCACAGCAATGGGAAGCACAGCACAGGCGATAAGCCCCAAAAAGGAAAGGACCAGGGACCAAATGTAGTCTCCAAGTCAAACCTCCATGACCACTCAGATTGCATGCTTTAGTTATCCCCTAGGCATCTCTCAAGCCAATCAAGATTCACCATCATAATCCTAAATGGATGTGGAATTTTGTTAACTTTTTTCTCAATCCATTTGATAAGTCTTATAAGGGTCAATTTTTATGTAGTGTACACAAGAAGCCCAACAGAAATGGATGAATTAAGAGATACAAGTTTAGACGAAAAAAATCACTTTATTAGAAAGGGAAGCAAAATGAGGAAGCAAAATCATTTTATTGGGAGAGGAGAGGAGAGAAAGATAGATAGATAGATAGATGCCTTGTCAGAGTAAGGTAGGGAGCCCAGAGCTGGCATAGGGTGGGGTGGGGTGGGGGTGTCTTTGTTCTCTACCACTTTTATAAGGCAAAAAAGGACTCTTCCCCCTTGAGAACTGTTACAACTTGACTGGCTGTTGTGGGGTCTGAGACACCTGACATGGCCATTGCCCTTTCCATGCCAACAGGTACATTTTTGGAGAAGCACTTCTTTGGGCTGTTTGTGCTGTCCAGGTGCATATCTTGTGAGATTTACAGCAGGGTTACATTCAAGGCTGAATTAGTAAAAACATATATGTGTTTTAGTGTATTACTATGGTGAGAAATATATATGTATATATTTATACAGAACAATGTATAAGTGTCTAGGAATATGTTTTTAAAAATAATATAGATCCCCCCACTTGTTTGTTTTGTGCTTAGTTGCAGGTGGAGGAAGGAGGGAATTTTGTCATGGCATGAAGTGAGTCAGGTTGCCTTATCAGCTCTGTTTTTCTTAGCTACTTTCATGAGTAGGAATTGAACTCTTTATTTGCTAGAAACTTCACCAAGGACCTTTAACTTTCCCTGCCTGTCCCCCAATTTTCCTTACACGTTTATTCTTAGGCTATTGAGTTACATGGAATTTTTTTTTTTTGGTAATGTTGAACTATCTTTGCATTCCTAGTAATATATGCCACTTGATCATGATGTGTTACTCTTTTGTGTTGCTGGGTTTAGCATCTATTTTTTTAAAAATAATTTTGTGTGTATGTCTATGAAGGGTAGTGGTCTATAAGTTTTATTTTGTGCCTGTCTGGCTTAGTTTTCAGAGTGCTGTTAGTGTCATAAAATAGGGAACTACAGTATTCCCTCTTCCATTTCCTCATAGTTTGTATGAGGTTAGTATTGAGGATTTTGAATAGAAAAGGGTCACTGCCTGACTGATGTCAGCCTTAACAGGCTATCTCTGACTGTTGTGTTAGTAGACTGAGGGAGCAAGGACCAAAGAAGGAAGATAGGGGGGCTTTGGCAATCTTGGGAGGAGGCAAGAAAGGCTTGTTCAAAGTGGTAGCACTGGCTGTGGCAAGAGAGGAGCAGGTTCTAAACATATGTATAGTATTTAGTCTCTCTTACAGATTTGTTTATTTTAAGTGAAGTTCTTGCTCAGGCTGGGCTTGAACCTTTCTTCCTGCTTGTCTCAGTTTTACAGAGTCTAAATACAATTTTTAGGGAATAACAAGATAGTTTGCTGGTGGATTAGATGGAGGGTGTAAGAAGAAAGCAGAAAAGGATGATCTTTAAATCTGATCTGTTTTTCTCAATGCTTTTTATTGTTAATCTATTGATAAATAGAATCCAAGTGACTGTCCTTTATTCCTCTTCTCTATTGACTCCTGTTCACACCCAGGAAGGTTAGGGTATCAACCTATAAAGGCACATAGAATCAGGAGAACAGAAGTGGTTTTCCTTTTGAATTTTTCTTCTCAAAGTTACATTATGAAAAGTTTCTTAGCCAGGCCTGGTAACACACATCTGTAATCGCAGGAGTCTGTGAGAAAGAGAATGATCCCAACTTTGAAACCTTGCTGGGCAAATTAGCAATTTAGAAAGACCCTGTCTCAAATGAAATTTTTTTAAAAGGGCTAGGGAAAAACAAAAAGGGCTAGGGGAGTGTAACTCAGTGTTAGGGACCTGTATTCAAAGAAAGGAAGGAAGCAAGAAAGGAGAGAGAAAAACTAAAGCTTCTAATGTCAAGTAAAATAGAATAATTTTACATATAGTCATTTAACCATACTAACTTTAATGATCAATTTATTTTTTAATCAGATTTTATTGGTACATTTTTTGGTACCAGGGATCAGACTCTCTACCTTACACTTGCTAGGTGAGCACTTATGCCGCTGAGCTAAATCCCCGGCCCATATATATATGGTCATAGTCATCACAGAGCAGTTATACAATTTAAATCTGAACTTGTTTTCCTTTATTCCCTAAATCATTGTTGTTTTGAGACAGATTCCATATTTCATAGTACAAGTTGAGTTTTCCTCATCTGATTTTTCTTTTCTTTTTTGAGACAAGGTCTTGCTATATAGTTCCAACTGGCTTCCAACTCGTAGCAATTCTAGCTCAGCTTCTCGAGGGCTGGGATTATAAGAATTAACCACAATGCATGGCTCCTCATCTAAAATGATTGTGAGTAGAAAAGGAAATATTTTTAGATTTTTAAGGGTTTGGTTTTTTGTTTTAAATACTTGCATTGACTTTTGTGGTTGAAGATTTCTAATCTGAAAGCCTAAAATCAGAAATCCTATGTGTTATATCAGCTGTTAAGTTTCAGATGTCAGAGCACTTTACATTTTGGCTTTTGTTTGTTTGTTTTGTTTTTTGAGACAGGATCTTGTGTAGTTCAGGCTGCCCTTAAACTCCCTGTATAGCCCAAATTGGCCTCAAACTTCCAGCAACCTCCTGCTTCAGCCTCTAGAGTGCTGGTGTTACAGATGTATGCCACTGTGACTCAGTTTTAGATTTTTTCTTTTTTTGAGGCAACATCTCACTATGCAGTTCAGGCTGCTCTTCAAGTCACTGTGGAGGCCAGACTGGCCTCAATCTTGGCAGTGATCCTCTTCCCTCAGCCTTCTGAGTGCTGGGATTACAGGTGTGTGCCACTCTGCTTGACTAGTTTCTTTCATGTAGCTAGTTTTTGAGGCTCATGAATATTGTTACATTTATTGCTAGTTCTGTTTTATTGCTGAATAATATTGCTGAATGGGAATATCATATTTTGTTTATCCTTCTCTATGTGGACTCCTGGGTTATTCTACTTTTGGGCTACAGTGAATAATGCTGCAGTGGACATTTGCATAAATGCATTAAGTAAATGTGGTGGTTTCTCTTGGATAAATACATAGGATTGGAATGTTTAAGCCACATGGTAAGCGTATGCTTATCTTTATCAAACTGTGAAACTGTTTTCTACAGTGGTGCTGCCTTTTACATTCTTAGCAAGAATAGTTTCAGATTCTTTCACCTCTCAAAGGTTTGGCAGCATTTGATATTGTCAGCTTGTTTAGGTTTTGCTTTTTTGTGGGGCTAGGAATAGAACCCAGAATCTCATACATGCTCAGCAAGCAGTGTAATAATGAGCTATTGTCCCAGCCCTGTCATTTTGTTGAGTAGGATTCTTTCTTTCTTCCTTTTTTTAGGTACTGGGGATCAAACTCACAATCTAGCACTTGCCAGGCTCAGCGGCCCCTTGAGTAGGATTCTTTTGCTCCTGTTGGAGCTCTGAAAATGATACCCTAAAGTGAAAGCTTCAGAAGCTACAGCAAAGGCCAAGTTTGTGTCTCACCTTCTGACTTCCTTTCACTTCCTCAATAACCCTGAAGCAAATCATAGAAAATAGACTTACCAGAGAAACCAGAACCCTTAGAAATTCATCAGAAACCATAAAAATCATCTAGCCATAAAGAAATCCTCTAGTTGATTTGATTGTATGTCAAAAAGCCCCACTCAAGAAAGTGTCTCATAACAGGAAGAAAGGAAAGCTGGAAAGAGGCCAAAAACAAAATGGTCAGATAGACCTTGCTGAGTTTCCCATTATGCTTTATGTCCTGGCTTCTGGGTGGGAGGAGCTGAACCCCGGGCCTTGTGCTTACAAACAAGGCAAGAACTCTACCACAGTGGGCCACACCCGCACTCTATACCCTATCCTGGTGTAGTTCTACAATGCTAGTCACACTTAATGGAACCTAAACTTGTAGATGAATAGTTCACCATTTGGGTGTTTGAGTTTTCCTTTTGAAGACTTCTGGTCTCCCCTCCTGCCAGCCAGGGTCTTGCTATATAATTTAGGCTGGCCTTGAACTTACTATGCAACCCAGGCTCCAACTGTGAGCATCCGGAGTGCTGGTATTACAGGCCTTCGCCACTGTGCCCTGCCTTACTCAAGATTTGGCCAAGCCTTAGATTTACCTATGCAATGGGGATGATTCTTCTCAGTAGTGAGGGCGAACTGTAAAATCCAGGTGCACAGTAAGGACTCAATAGGTATGAACTGTTTTTCTTGCTTTGCTTTAGGATTTTTACCTGGGTTTCCTGACTGTCAGGTTACACCTAATGTGTAAGCTATTGCTTTGCTCCTCCTTTAGGTCTTAAGCCTCCTTTTCAGAACTCCTGCAAGGTCACAAACGGAGGAATAGGTTCAAAAGCTGCAAGCTTGTCTGGGTGCACTGTGAACAGTGAATTGCAGAGCGATCTTGAGGCCAGAACTCACTCACGCGCATGGGATCCTGAACATGGAAAGCAGCTCCTCTCCCCGCGCTGCCTCCGCTGCCTCCGCTGCCTCCGTGGTCTCGCTCTTTGGCAGCTGCCCAGCTTGCATGGCCTGGCCACCCTCCTCCTCGCAACAGACAGGGATGGTGCGGGGTGGCCGCAGAAGGTCGGCGTGGCAGGAGGGCAAGAGGAGGTCTCCTGGCGACCAAAAACTCCTCAAGGCCATTTCTGCTGAGGGGGGCTGTATCTTGTCTCTGGAAGGAAGGTCTCAGAGCATGCGTGCCCAGGGCTGGAAGCCGGACGGGTGTGGGGGAGGAAAACAGCCCAGTAGGTGTGGCTGGGACGAGCGCTAGCAGGGGGAGCCCAGGGTGGGAAGCCGACTGCGGGCCGGGCTGGGGCAGAAGGCAGCTGGCACGTGGGCCATACCCGAGGGAGCAGGCAGTGTTATGCAGATGAACGGTCTCCGTACATTGTGGAAGCGCGTTCCCTGGCAAGGACCAGGGTGGGTAGCAGGTGAAGTACTCCAGTAGGTGGTGAGCCGCAGCCCCTCTTGCTGTGTTTTGGCTGTGAGTGTGTAGGCACAGGTGAGTTGTAGCAGAGTGAGGCATGTCAATATAAGAGTGAGGCGTGTAAGTTGGGGTAGTGGGCTGTGTGGGGGTTAGTGTCATACTTACCTGTGGGGAGAAAAACCATGATGATAAAGGTGGTTTTCCCAGGGTGAGGCTCATCCATTGCACTCCGGATGTGCTGACCCCTGTGATTTCCCCAAATGTGGGAAACTGGACTGCATAATTTGTGATAGTGGGAGACTGTGTTAGCGCTTTCCCTTGATTATTTGGTTATTTTCCTAGTCTTAGGTACTTGGGAGCGTTAGCGGCAGCAAGTGTCTTATAGTTTCCTGGTTAGTGACTGTAGGTCTGCTTTTCACTTGATAGTTGTTTGTGCTTAGTGTTTTTTTTTTTTTTTTTCTTTTCTTAAAAGTTAAGCGTTGTGCAGCAGTATGTGCATTGTCTTCAATGTTGGTAGGTATAGTAAGTAACTTCTGGGTATTTGATAAGATGTTGTGACCTGTGGTAGAGGTGGTTTTGTGAAAAATAATCTTACCAGTCTTTTGCAGGACACTTACTTTGGTTCATCATGTTTTTATATTGGTTAGTGAAAATGATGTTAGGTGTCTGACTTAAACTATTGGAAAAGTAGGGAGAGAGACTGCTTCTTGGTAAATTGGCATGCTGTACTGCTTCATGGAAACACACCTCCACAACACCTGCCCTGCAATAAAGTATTGGCACATTACTTCAACTTTATTAGCCACAGTTGCGCTTTGGCTTAGCCTAATTGGTGTTAAGTAGCCTTTAGATAAAAGTCATGGAGACAGTTAACTTTGTATCAGTAGTAGGATTGAAAAGAAATTGAAAAAATCTTTTTCATATAGAGAGAAGATACTGAGACAGACAGTGGGGTCTATTCCTCTGGTAAGAAGGGGTTGGTGGTACAGTTGCAGAGGCAGGGAACATTTTTTAAAGATTGTATCTTTAGGGTTGGGATTTAGCTCAGCAGCCATAAGCCTGCTTTCCAAGCATATGTGGTTGTGAGTTCAATCCCTGGTGCCGGGGCGGGGGGGGGGCAGATTGTAACTTTACAACTAATACAGTAGAACAGTAAAGTGGCTATGCTGGAAGGGACTCACTACAGCAATGCCTTCCTTGCACCCTGCACACCGTGAGCACTGCAAAAGACAGAAGGTTAATGAACTATGAAACATAGTAAATCCATGCAAGTTTTGTTTTGTTTTGTTTTGTTTTTTTTGACATACGGAAGTTATCACTGCAGTTGATAACCTTCAGAAAACTGCACAGAAGTGCTTAATGAATATTGGAAATAAAGCTAAATGTTCATGTGCACTGGAAAAAAAATGACTAAAGGCTGGGGATTTAGCTCAGTGGCATAAATGCCAGTCCAGAAAGTGTGAGGTGGTGAGTTTGATCTCCGTAAAAATACAAAACAAAACAAACAAACAAACCAGGTCTCTACAATGCTTAAATGCATTCTATTTAAACTCAAAATGAACTCAAGTTCAATTTACATACTAAAGTGGTACCACTTGAGCATAAATTATTACAGTATCCTTTAGGCATACTAAACCAAATATTTAAAGAGACTGTCCCATTATACTCTGCAGAATTCAAGCTGGTGGATATGGTGCTAAAACTAGGTTATATTTCACTTACTGGAAGATTTTTAAACAAAACTAACATTCAAAATTTGATATTGCTAGCATTAAACCAGTTATTACCTGAGCAATAAAATACCACATAATCTACTGCTGGCAAATGAGAGCAGTTAAACGACTTGGGCTACCTGATCATTGTAAGAGATACTTCAGGAGGAATTCTGCCAGTCTCTAGTTCCTAGCTTGTCTGGCAGCACTGTTTAATTAATGGTCATGGAACCCTAACCCTAGCCCAAACTGTAACAGAGTTTTGTGTTTATTCGGATAATTCTTGTCCTTTGTAATCAGCTTTGATGGTTACAAAAGTTAAACCCAAAAAATTAAACCAAAATGTACTAAATTACATAAACCTATTAAGGCATTTTAGAAGTTGACTTCCAGAATAATGGAAAATTTTCACACAATTCTGCTGTGTTTATAGGGCAACTCTTGGATTTGTTGAAATATGCACTACCATGAAAGAATAGTGAACTACTTCCAGGGGAATGTATTCTTCCTAGCTGTGGATACCTCAGAGCTCTGGCCAGCCTGGAATTTGTGAACACCATGGTAACTGTGAAAGTGTTAAGCTCATTTGGGAAGGTAGTGAGGTGATGAGCTGATAGATACTTTATCTCCAGGGTGAGCGGGGGCAGTGTGGATGAAGGTGTCCAACAGATGTTTACAGAGTTGCTGTGTTGTGACTCTTTGTTGCACAGTGATGTGCCTGAGAGATGCAGGGCTGTGGTGCTGGGTGTGGCAGCAGTAGAGTTGGTGCCCTACCACTCAAGTTGTCCAAAGAGAGGCCCTGAAGTTACTCATGCTCTCCTAGGAGAGGACATTTACATTCAGAGATTATTCAGTTCTGTCAACATTTTGGGGTTTCCAACCTGTCATATCTTTACATGTATGATCTTTTCTTTTTCTCTCTTCCATTTGTATTTGTTACGGATCCAGGGCCTTCACCCTGACCTACATCTCTGTCCCTTTTCAGTAAGTTGGCCAGGCAGGATTGAATATTGATAGTCTTGCCTCAGCCTCCCAGAGTCTCGGCATGACAAGTGTGTGTCACCACTCGAGGCTTGCTTTATGAATTTCTGTTAAAAAAAAAACTCAGGACTTAAAAAGTACTCAGAATTGGATTGGGAAAGTAGCTGAGTTGTAGAGTACTGGCTTTTAGTGCAAGAGTGCTTGCCTAGTGTGCATAAGGCTCTGAAAACTTTGCCCAGGATGGCCAATTAAAAAAGAAAATGAAAAAAAAATTCTGGCATACACATGGCACCCTCATTATATTTCTGAGAACCAATCTCTCTCTGAGGCTGGTGAGACTTAAGAGATGGGTGAAAATTCTGAGATGGAGGTGAGACTCACAAACTGAAGGGCACGATGTGCATTGGAATAGAATGCTTGAGGTGGCAGGCGCAGCAGAGATCTGAGAGGCATGGGTGGGTAGGGGCATGCTGCCCTTCCTGGTTGTCTAGGAGGGAGCACTCCTGTACCAAAGAGCTGTGTTTCTCAATCTTGCCTCAGGTCACTTTTTTTGGTGTTGGTTTTATATATTATATTTGTCAATGTATTCGCTGTAGTTATTACTAACAATTATTATTCCTAAATTCCAGTACAGACAGCTAAATCGGTACCAGGGATCCAACTCACGACCACGTGCTTGCAAGGCAGACACTTCTGCCACTGAACTAAATCCCCAGGCCAGAAAGCTAAAATATAGTAAAAATCATACTTTGCACTTAAATCTGTGTGGCGCCAAATCCTGTGTTCAAAACTTTTTACATTTTAGATTTGGTCTTTTTATAATGCAGCAAAAACAGCTCAGTGATATTAATGAAAATACTTACCATTTCTGTGCAATACCTTTCAGTAGTCCCCCTACCCATTTTGTGACACTGGAGAATGAACCCAGGCCCTCACAGAATCTTGACAAAGTGCTGTGATACTAATCTATATTCCTAGACCCTTCCACATGTTTTCATGTTAGTAATCATTATTATATGATGGTTAAATTTGTTAATACTCAGTTTCTCTATTGTTTTGATATTTTGGGTTTTGAGTGGGTTTGTTTTTTTGCAATTTGTCTGTGATGAGCACAGAGGGAATTCCATTTGTCTAGGTAAAATGTAGAAATTCCTTTAGGTAAAGTAAAATACTGCTGAATCAAAAGGTATGAACATTTTTGACACTATATGCATATGGTTACAATTAAGGTTTTTCTGTATAGGTACTGTAGTCATGTGTCATAATATTTAGGTGGAAAGCAGTCCAGACTCCTGTATTGACACTAAAATTATGTTCCTTTGCTTTCTTTTCTTTTTTCTTTATGGTCCTCAGGATTGAACTCAGCATCTGTATATGAATAGCCCCCCTTCATAACCAAGGTCTCACAATGAGATGTTCCTCCTTTAATGACCTATCTGGGGAATTAGTGTTTGAACTTAACAAGGCACACTGCTGGGTCTTACTATCCATCTTTCCTTTTGTACAGTTCTTTCTGTGCATCTTGTTTATAAAGCCTCAATGTCTTTTTTTTTTTAGTACAGTATACTTTGTTAAACTACCATACTTAAAAAAATAAAAATAAACTACCATAATTTTTGCTGATTGTACTGTAGAGTACTGTAGTTTTAGGTTGTTGCATATTGCAGTACTTTGTGTAAGAGTTACACAAATAAAATCAAAGTCATCAAGTTGGAGTTTGCTTTGAGCGTTTTGTTCTGAATACTGTAATGTACATACTGTATGTATATAATTCCTCATTTAGCAGTCGATTCATTTGATGACCTATTTGCAGAAACATAACTCAGTCTTTAAATGAAGAATGTCTGTTTAGTTTTAGGCTGACCCTGAACTTACTATAAAGCTGGGGTTGATCTTGAATTTGTGTCACCGTCCTGCCTCAGCATCCCTGAGTGTTGGGATTAGAGGTTTGTGTTACCACACCCAGCATGGTATAGCTCCTTCAGTCTGCTAACCTTTAACTTTCTAGGAGTTTTGATCACAGTCTTTGTTCCATTTCATGTTGCCTATTTTTATATTCAGCATGGGTCTTCCTTTCTCTCGCCTTTCTCCTTTCTCCCCTGTTCTAGGGATGAAGCTCAGAGTCTTGTGCATATAATCCCCCTTCCTCTCTCATTTTAACAAATTGAACTACATCTCCACTGAAGTATAGCTCCAGCCCTTTCTTTAGTTTTGTAATTTTTTGTCTTTTTGAGATTAGGGTCTCACTGTGGTTCAGGCTGGCCTCGCTTGCAACGATCCTCTTGCCTCAGCCTCCTCAGTGCTGGGATTACAGGAGTGCACCACTACGCCCAGTTTTTGTTTTTAATTTTTCAGACTGTCTCACTACATTGCTCAGGCTAGCCTCAAATTTTTGATTTTCCTGTTTCAACCTCTCAAGTAGCTGGGATTAGAGACATGGGCCACTGTGCTTGGTTTAAATTCTTTTGACTGGGGACTCTGACATGGAAGATCTTGAATTTGAAAGACTGAAAAAAGGAAAAAATCAGGGGAAAATAGTTTTTAAAGAACTGTAAAACTAAAGGTGTAGTATATGCCTGTTATCCTAGTATCTAAGAGGCTAAGGCAGGACTATCATGAGTTTGAGACTAATGTGGACTACATAGCAAAAACTTGTCCCAAAAATATTAAAATAATTATGTCAAAATAATTATATTACCACCATTCTCTCAAGTAATTTAGGCACCTCTTCTATGAGATGACTAGTGTGGAGTATGATGGCACACTTTTTTTTGTACTGGGGGTAGCACTCACAACCTTACACTTACCAGGCAAGTGATGGAATACTTTTGCAATCCCAGCTACTTAGAGGACTGTGAAGCAGCAAGATCCCTACACTGCCAAATAAATAAAAAGTACAAGTAGAAAATTACCAAACCATCACTAACCGCAAATATGTAGCTAAAAATATGTTGCTTGTATTTGTATATGGATCACTAATTGGAGTAAAAAAAAACTAGAAGGAGCAGAGTGCAATATTGGTGAAATTATCTGTGTCCCATCATGTGCCACAACAAATGAAAGTTATAAAACAGCATAGGAAATATACTTCTTTAAAAAAATACTTAGGTGTAAGGAACCTACCGCATATACTGTCAAAGTGTACCACATATACTGTCAAGTGATTTTACCGCATATACTGTCAAAGTGTAATAACACTTTTATAGTTGGATTGTGGCTGGTTTTAATTTTTAAACTTAACAACAACTATATGTGTTCCCAGCCCTACTCCCCCAGCTCTTTACATATTTATTTATTTATTTATTTATTCATTTATTTATTTTTGAGACAGGATCTTGTTATGCAGTTCAGGCTGACCTTGGGCTCACTTTGTAGCCCAGGCTTCTCTCGAACTCACAAAGAGTCTCATTCCTCAGCTTCCCAAGTATTGAGATTACAGGAGTGTGCCACCACACTCGGCTCATTCCTTTAAATTTTAACCAGGGTTTCATCAGATTGCTCAAGTTGGACTTAAATTTTGGATCACCCTGCTTCAACCTCTCAGAGTGCTAGGATACAGGCATGGACCGCCATGACCTGCTCCTTAATGTATTTTATTTCAAGAGGATTTTGTTTATTGTTTCAGGCTGGTCTTGAGTTTACCAGTCTGTTCCAGCATCCCTGGAAGTTGAGATTCAGGTCTGTCTCCTTTTTAAATTTTCAAACATTTTCTGTCCTTTGCAAATCATCTAAAGTGAATTTTGTAGCTGGGTATAATTGTGCACTCCTGTAGATCTAGCATTTGGGAAGCTTAGGCAGAAGAATTGCTGTAAGTTTGAGGCCACCCTGAGCTACATAACTAAGTTCAAGGTTAGTCTGCACTGCATTATGAAACCCTGTCTCAAAAAAAAGTCACACACATATATAAAAACTAAAATGACTTTTTTAACTATTGTAAAAAACAAAATTATTCTCCATACATAGCAAACAAAACACAGGTTTTTGTTAATTGTCTTTTCAAGACAATTAGGGAGAACAAAAGGGAAATATGACCAAAGCCTGTGGTAGTATAGTTGCTAGAAATGGAATTGTTTTGCACAGAGTACCTAGTCAATAAGGCAGAAAGTGAAATGTCTCTATTTCTAAAAAGAAAGAAAGAACAAATAAAAAATAATAGCAGAGACAGAGCGATAGGAGAGAGAAAAGAGGAGAGGGGTCATTGTAATTCAGCATGGACAATGGATGTAAAACCATACCTTGACTTAGTGTAGTTATCTTTATAGTTTTGATATTTTTGGATTGTTTGTTAATCCTAATTCATAGTAATTAACTTGATAAGGGGTTATAAATGAATGTGTTGCTTGTGGGGAGCCCTGTAATTGGCTGCCACCTTAACATCTGCAGGCTGTACCACCTTAATGCCCTCTAGGAGTTAAGTTTGGTAATTAAGCAGCATCTTGCATAACTTGTTTAGCCTGTCCAATTATTCAGGGATTATGCTTATTGAGCCCCTGTGCAGGGAAATTCGAACTGACCTATGAACCTCCATCTTGCCACTGTTGCTAAGTTACCTGCTGATGTCTCAGCACCCAAATCCCTTGTCCCCAATGCCCTATATATTTGATACTCATTCCTTGAATAAGGAGAGACTTGATTGGAATTCCTCAACTTGTCTCCACTCTTTGTGTCTCTTGCTCCCTTTTCATCCCCACTCCCCCTCTAGGGTCTCCGTGGATTTACCTGCAGGCCGGGTCAAGTGATGCCCAGCGTGGGGCCTGAGAATGGGGGAATTAGTGAGGGATGCTGTTCGTGGGGCCAAAGTAGAAAAAGGAAAAAGAAAATAGAGGACTGATGTGGGAGCCTGCCACGCTGCTGAACCTCGGTAAGTGAATAGTGATTATGGGACAAGAAATTAGCCAAAGTTTAGAAAAGCTTTAAAGATACAAAGGGTAAGGAAAAAAAAATTGTGTCCATTAGGACAAGAAATGAGCCAATGTGAGATTTTTGTTAAAAGTTTAAGAAAGGCTTTAAAGACATGGAGGATAAAGAAAAAAATTAATTAAGCAATTGTCCATTAGGGCTAAACTTTAACTCAGGAGCAAAGTGACCTGGTAGCCACGCGCCCCTCCCCCATACTGTGAGGGCCATATAGTTCTGGCTTCAGCGTGTTTAACTTTAGATACTAGGAAGGAATTAAGAAACCAAACTGAACTTTTAAAACAACAGGTTAAACTGAAAAAAGAATGTCAGGATTTGATAGCTCAATTAGAAAGACTAAAAATTCGCAAAACTTAAAAATGAAAAGTGAAACTAACCCCAGAGTTTCCTCCAGGATTTCTCCTGGTCAGCGACCCTCACTGAGAGGCATGATTTCTAAATTTACCCCTCTGGCCTGATCCAATATTAAAGCTAGATGATATGGAGGCTTTCCCTGTGATGGAAATGAGGGACACAGAGGGCTGAGTTATTTGCGACTACTCTGGTTTCAATTTCAAACTGAATAGAGAATTAAAAACCGTGGTTACACAGTAGGAAGACACAGCCGCATATACTCTTGCTGTTTTAAATTCTCTGGCTGATGGCTGGCTCACACCTACAGATTGGCAAGGATTGGCCTGAGTGACTTTATCGGATGGGGATTATCTTTTGTGGAAATTGGAATATATAGAAAATTGCAAAGAGACTGCCAGGCACAATATGCAAGCCAGCAATGGGTGAGACTTTGATATGTTAATAGGGGAGGATGCCTATGCCAACAGAGAGGCCCAAAAGCAATTTAAGGGTGATATGTGTTCCTCTCAAGCATTAAGCAAGGGCTGGGATTTAGCTCAGTGACATAAGCGACATAAGCATCTGCCTGCCAAGTGTGAGGTTGTGAGTTTAGTCCCCAAGGCTGGAGATTTAACTCAGTGGCACAGGTGCCTGCCTGAGAAATAAAAGGCTGTGAGTTCGATCCCTGGTACCATTGACATTGAAACTGCTTGTCAACAAGGCCTTGCTATGGCTGCCGCCTTGCAAGGGTTTACAGTTATCTCAAAAAAAAAAAAAAAGTTTTACCTGTGGAGATAAATTGGTCATTTTGCAAAGAACTACAAAAAAGATTCCAGAGATAGAATTCCAATGTCAAGTACTTTGACTCATTTAACTGATCAGAGTGATATTGGTCTAGTCTCTTAGGTTTAATTTCAGCATATGTAAGGATGGAGACAGCTGCTGAGAGGAAAACGAGAGACATTATGGTACTTAGTATTGTCTCCCCTAATGTCAGATCTTAAAGCACTGAGGAGCCTATAATGATTTGATTAGTTCTATAATATGCAGTGTGTATTTTTAATGTGCGTAAAGATGGGGACAACTGTTTAGAGGAAACTAGAGACAATTAGATGAACAGTGAAGATCTCCAGTGGACTTGCTTTGAAATCTGTATTTCTTTAAATTGTTTTTTTTAACTGTTTTGTTCTGTTTTGATATGTTTGGTTTTGCCCTCTTTGAGATAAAAAACAAGTGTGTAGGACTGATAACCATATTACTAAGTTTTTGTTGGATCATTCATCAGAACTGTTGCCAGTGTCACTATTTGAATGTCACTTTACATACTTTAATTTTGTAACCTGAAGAACTATTTCTAAGATGACAATATGTAACTTATCAACTGGTGATTTCTTACCGTTTATTTTTCTGTAATTCTGTATTAAGATCACTAGAGAGCAAGCCAGACAGATAGTAAAAAACTGCCCCTCTTGTGCCATGCACCTCCCAGTTCTACACTTTGGGATTAATCCTAGAGAACTTATCCCCAATGCATTATGGCAAATGGATGTCACCCACATTCCTGAGTTTGGCAATCTTAAATATGTTCATATAACTATAGATACCTTTAGTGGTTTCATTTATACCTCTCCCCAGACTGGCAAAGCTACCAAACATGTTATTAGCCACATGTTAATTACCTTATCAGTTTTAGGATGCCCACAACAATTAAAGACTGATAATGGTCCAAGTTATGCTAGTTCTGCCTTTGCTCATTTCTGTCAGTATCTTAATAGTCATCATATAAAAGGCATACCTTATAACCCTCAAGGTCAAGGCATAGTTGAAAGGGCACATTTCTCCCTAAAACTCACTGTTGATAAAATAAAAAAGGGGGAATGGTACCCCACAAAGGGGACACCTAAAAATATTCTATTTCATGCCTTAGTCATCCTTAATTTTTTAAATTTGGATGCTGCTGGACAGTCAGCAGCCACACGTTTTTGGCATACTGAAATACAAAAGCAATTTGCTTCTGTACTATGGAGAGACCCCCTGACTAACCATGGCATGGTCCAGGCCCAGTCCTTATCTGGGGACGAGGATCAGTATGCATTTACTCTAAAGAGATGAAATCTGCGAGATGGCTGCCAGAATGATTGGTTAAACAAATAGATCAAATACAACAAATAGAGGATAATGTTACAGATGACTCCAGGGACTAAAAATGACCCCTGAGAGAATTTTTTCACAGCTTTTGTTTTTCAGATGGTGGAACCAACAGCCTGGATCCTGCCTCTCAGGATTATGATGACTAAGTTGATGGCTTTTGTCAATCAACAGGTGGATGCCATAAAAATGCAACCTATACAGGTCCATTACCACAGGTTTAGAATGGCTGATAGAGAAAATTACTCAGAGCCTGCAAAAACTGTATTATGATAATGCTTTGTGAAAGCATGCTACAAGCTCTATTTCTCTTGCCTTGGTGCGATAGACTGGATAGCCAGAGACGGGCAACTGGGCCTCACACGGGATGCCAACCTCCACCTAAGACAGGAACTGGGCCTCTCGCTGCCCTGCCTTCCAATGACGGGTAAGGCTAGGTTGGCCCCCCTGTGGAAGCACCCTGACCCAAGACAGGCACAGTCTCCTCAAGGATGCAGCCTCTTATATTTTAAAGGGGAACCTGTGGGGAGCCCTGTAATTGGCTGCCACCTTAACATCTGCAGGCTGTACCACCTTAATGCTCTCTAGGAGTTAAGTTTGGTAATTAAGCAGCATCTTGCATAACTTGTTTAGCCTGTCCAATTATTCAGGGATTATGCTTATTGAGCCCCTGTGCAGGGAAATTCGAACTGACCTATGAACCTCCATCTTGCCACTGTTGCTAAGTTACCTGCTGATGTCTCAGCACCCAAATCCCTTGTCCCCAATGCCCTATATATTTGATACTCATTCCTTGAATAAGGAGAGACTTGATTGGAATTCCTCAACTTGTCTCCACTCTTTGTGTCTCTTGCTCCCTTTTCATCCCCACTCCCCCTCTAGGGTCTCCGTGGATTTACCCACAGGCTGGGTCAGTTGCTGGCAAAAAACATTTTAAGAGGAAGTGAAGGGAAATAGAAAAGAAGAATTGAGATATGTTGTATATGTGTATTAATGCCCCCCAATGAATGTAATCATTAAGTTCTTGCAAACACATAGTAATAAAAATTAAAAATTACAAAATATTTTTTAAAAAGCCAGGCAGGGTAACACAGGCCTTAATGCCAGCGTTTGAAAGCTGAGGCAAGAGGGTCGCCATGAGCAAGGCCAGCATAGGTTATATAGTGCGTTCCTGGCCAGTTTGACCTGCATAACCAGATCCCATCACAACTCAGCCACTGCAGCGTAGGAGCTCGCAACACACGCGTGCACGCGCACACACACACACACACACACACACACACACACACACACACGTTCTCAGATTGTTAGCAGATAGGCGGCAGAGGCTGCTCTCTTGGTACCACAAACTACCACTGTGAATCCTGGCGAAGCCGGCTGCCCTAAGCTGCTGCAGTTTGGGGCCTTAGGGTCTGGATGGGATGGAGGATCTGGGCTGCTGGGCATGTTAAAGTTTAGCCCTGGCATGACCCACTCTGCTGCCCACCACTGCCGCGTCGCCCCAGTGCCACCCCCTCCCGTCCCCACAGCGCAGTGGCACGCGCGGTAAACCAGAACCTCCAGGAGGGCGACTCAGGCTGAAAGCTCACTGCTGTGGTGGCATCCCCGGAGGCGGGGACATGTAGATGTTACGTGTTGGCTGCCAGTTGCAGCCCACGGTTCCTGCAGCCGGGTTTCCCAGGTGTGCGGAGGTTGCGGTGGGAAGCAGGGTGTGTCGTGCGGGGAAAGGCGTGGAGGAGGTGGGAGGGTAGTGACCGTGAGTAGTTGGGGAGTGTGCGAGGAGGGTGAGTTGTGGCGCAAGATGAAATCTGTGACATGGCTGCCAGAATGATTGGTTAAACAAATAGATCAACTTACACTTACCTGGTAGGGTAGATATAGTGATCATGAGTCTTGTTTTCCCTGAGGTAGGCCTATCCATTGCACTCTGTATGTGCCGATCCCTACATTTTGCCCAAATTTGGGAAACTCAACTGCATAATTTGTGGTAGTAGGGAACTGAGTTCATGCTTTCCCCTAGCTTAACCTTTCTAGGAAAGGGTTCAGGTTTGTTGTATGCTCAGAGAGCTAGTGGTGTTTGTGTTTGTGCACATCAGGCGATTGTGAGTTTGCTGTTGTATTAAAGTGAAAGTGTTGTACTTACGGTAGTAAACTCACTAACTTGAGGTTATGGTTTTCTCTTGAGTTTTGAGGGTGCAGTGTGGTTGGGGTCAGTAGTAAGACATTAACTTCAATGGAGAAAAAGTAGAGGCTTGTCATACTGTATACTTATAAACTGGGTATTTTGGGGATACATTGTATGTATTACACATGATGTGATGGAGGTATCTGGGTGGTGTTATATACATCTCACACCAAGACAGCTGCAAGGCTGGGCTCTGGGCTCCCCAAGGTCATCTTGAAATGAAGTAAGGGAAAGGAGAGCTTCACAGCAATCCAGAACTCAAGGGGCCTTGTATAATCCCAGCCTCCCTTGGAACCTAATCTTAACATTAAATGTGCGGTTTACACTACTGTGCTCCACAAGCATTTTGGATCAGAAATATTTTTTTTTAGATAGTGTGTCATTATGTAGTTTATGCAGGTCTAGACTCAGTGTGGTAGCGTAGGCTGGCCTTGAACTCACTCGTGCCTCAGCTTCCCGAGGTGGGATTACAGGTGTGTGCCACCACATCCAGCTTAGATCTCTTTTTAAACTCTCAGAAAAACCAACAGCAGAAGGAACATTGGTTCCCGATACCCAGCACCCCGATTCCCATCAAGTGCCACTGGGGAACCAGACAGAAAATAGCTCCCTGTGCAGGTTGAGGGTTCACTGTGAGTTGCAAAGAAACATAAATTTCTTTTGTTTACAAAAAGCACCTCCTGGGCCAGGGATTTAACTCAGTGTATAAGCTCCTGCGTGGCAAGCAGGAGGATGAGAGTTCGGTCCCCGCTACCAAAAAAACAAGTGCCACCTATCATTAGAGATCACATGGACTCTCATCCTTCCCTTTTGACATGAAAATAAGTCTCTGAAGCAAAAAGTAAAAGTAGTAGGTTAGTTTGTTTTGTTTTCTTTTTAGTATATTGTTTTATAGCTCAGAAATGACTGCAAGGCTTTGAGCATCTTTTGGCCAAAGTTTGGAATCAGCTCACTATCTGATTAGTTCTAAGTTATTTTCTAGGCTTGCTCTTAGGTTGACTGGCGCAGCCCCCCAATGAGACAGAGGACGCTCTTGTTGGTAACAGGTAACTGCCGCTTTATTGAGGCGGGTTCTGGCTTATATATCTGACTGTGGCCAATCACAAGCTGCCTATCTGACTGTGGCCAATCACAAGCTGCCACGGAGTAAACATCACTAGTTGCCGCAGAGAAGTTTATTTGGAGAGGGACATAACGCATTGCGGAAGCTGACGTGGCTCTTGGTCCTGGGCGAAGTATGTTGAGCGCCTGTGCCCGACATTAGGTCAGGAAACAAACCAGTAAAATTGATTCAGAAAGCTCTTTTAAAAATTACTGTGCTTAGTGTTTGCAGAGCGAAGCCTCAGAAAAGTACACAGACAGTGTAGTGACAGGTCCCCCACTGGTGTGGCAGGCCCACTTGCAGCTTCGGAGACATCATGGGTTGACACAACGACCTCAGGGCAGAACCTGCCAGGACAAAACAGAGCTCAGCCTACAGCTACACAGCTGACCGCAAGCAGGGTAGGAGCCTCATGCTCCTCAATCACTTTTTCTGAGGTTATGTTATTATATTCTTCCCAGTTTTTGATTCCTGTTCCTTGAAAGTCAGTTGTAGGATGTGAGAAAGAGAAAACATGCATTTTATAAAGAAATTTACTTTTACAATCATGACATAACTTTACTTTTGTTATACTCCTTAATGCAATCACGGTAAAAGAAAAATAATAGAGCCTGAGGTCAAATGATTGTTGTTTCTATTATAAACTCTTACTCTTGCACCCAGCAGTCACCAGTAGGGTCAGGGGTCATGGGCTTCACCCACAGTGATGCAGCCTGTAAGCCGTGGCACCTCCAGTCCAGGGAGCCAGAGTTCCAACAGCTCTCACAGCAAGCAATGAGACAATGGAGGCTGGGAGTATTAACAAACAAGTTTTTGTTAGCTATTACTACAAAGGATGTCAGCGGGGCAGGAGGTGATAAGGGGTGATCTTTGAATAAACATCTTTAAGTAACAGTCTTTTCGACCAGGATGGGGCAGGAGGGTTAAAGCTTATAAATATCATGGCTCTGGTGTTCAGCTGATACACTAAACAACAGTCATGGAAATACATATTCTTACAGCATCTCCACAGGAAATAGTCATTTTTATGACATTCTGAATAATTTTACACTTACCTGTGCTATATTAACTAAAACACAGGGATCATTATTGCACATTTCAAAGATAGAAGGTCACTTGAGCTTAAGAGGCAATTTTTAGAGAGGAAGATGAGACTTCTGAAATGTATGGCTTAAAAGTTTGCACTGCTCAAGGCAGTTTAGTACTAAAAACTTTTTAGATGAACTGGGCCTCCAAAACCAATAAAAACCTTGGCCCTCTGAGTAGTGGGGACATTATGTGCTCTGCCTCAAGAATGTGGGCAGGTTCATGGCTGCTTCGTGGCGAGGCTGGGGCCTCTCTGGGCTCCGAGAGCAGGGGCTCCCCTGTGGCTGGCGGTGGTGGGTAGTCCTGGGGCCCGGCAGGCAGTGGTGGCATTCGAGGAGCAGGAATGAAATACTCTCAGGGCCAAGTGGGCCTGGAGGCCTGAATGGCACAGGTCCCAGCAAGAACTGGCGGGGGTGCAGCAGCAGGTCATGGCATCCTGGCTGGATGCCGGGCGCGTATTCTCTTAAGCCCAGTGGTGGGCCCATGTAAGGGTCTGGAAAGCAAGAGGGATACGTGGACACGTCCTGAGGAGCAGCCCAAGTCTGCTCAAAGCGTTTCCCTTCCCCTGAGCCAGGAAGCCAAGTGATGCACTGGACTTCACAGATAAGAAAAACTGAGGCTCAGTATGGCTCAACCACAGCCTGACCCTCCCTTCTCCCAATGCCACAGGCCCGTGGTGGCCTGGGTGACCACCCCGGTGGAACTGGCACTTCGGCTCTGTGGGAAGGGCCCTTCTGGTCCAAGCAGCTGTGGAGGCTGTACTGGGCTCAGAGTGCTGGGCCTCGTCTGCGGAGGCTGAGGCTGAGGCTGCTTTAGGTCTCAGGCTGTGGAGGAGGAAAACAGGGACCCGGAAGACTGAGCCCGCACTCGGCAGCCATGCAGCACAGGGAACCAGCAACACACGGACCTGCCTAGCTTGGGAGCAGCCCCTGGTGGCCCGGAGGTGAGTGGTGAAGAAAGTGCGCCCAACACTGTGCAGAGAGGGAGAGGAAAACACCGCAGGCCTCCACCATGCCACAGCCAGAGGCCGTTGGGAGTGACGGGGTGGGCGACGGCACCCAGGACTCTGCTCCCGCACTGCAATCCAGGTGGGCCCACACACGGCCCAGGGCTAAGTGAAAACCTGAGCCGGGAGTGCCTGGGCTCTGTACCAGAGCTCAGAGAACCGTGCCCAGGGCAAGGCAGCACGGTGTCCCTGAGTCTGGGCTGCAAGGCCCCAGAGAGGCTCACCGAAGTTGGCTCTCAGAATGTTGAGGTGTGCAAAATTCAGGCTCGCAGAGGGTGGCTGTGGGGAGGGGGGGCTCTGCGCCTGGGGGCGGGGAGCACTCACTGCCGCTCATAGGGGATGGGCCAAAGGAGCCATTCTGGCTCAGGGGACCTGTGGCGACAACGCACAACGCACGTACTGATTACCACTTCTCTGCAGTTAGTCGCACTCAGAACCTCTGTAGGGTGCATTCTGCACTCCAGGCCAGTCCTACATGGGCTTGATGATCACAAGCTCCTCATGAAGCATGGCCAGCTTCTGGTTCATCTCTACTAGCCTGCACACAGACAGAGTGAGGCTGGGGGTGACCATAGCCACCCTGAGCAGGCTGAAACGTGGGCGCCACTCGTCACACCATACGCTGCTAACCTCTGCCACAGGTTGGTGGCCTGCCGCTTCTCCTCTGCCATCAGGCACTCCGCATTGCAAGCTTTGAGCTGTGGAGACACAGGGGCCAGCTCAGCACAGCAGCTGAGTAAAGCTGGAGAGGGTAAGGCGAGGAGGAGGCTCTTACCCAGTTCTCATGGGCTTTTTTCTCATAAGTATCAAGCTGCAAGAGAACAGGGCAAGACGAAGGTTGAGGGATGAGTCACCGGGGCTGAAGCCCTCCATGATCTCTGTGTGGGGGTTAATGGATGCTGTCACCACAGTGCACTCTATTCCTTACCTGGTTTTAAATGAGCGCTCTGTTTTTTGTAATTTTTCCTCCATTTCCGCCTAAAAGTAATACTTAGCAGTTAGAATCAAATAAATTCTGAAACAGTCTGACCTTTTCTGACCTTTAAAGACTTCATCATACAGAAACATTTCATAATGTGATGAGTGCAGTGTGAACCTCAGTTTCCTGATTTTTCATTTAATGCCTAGAGATTATGAGTTGATAACTTGTAAATTTCCTTAACTGTCCTTGCAATAACATTCTCAAAATAATCTGGCTAAGGGTACTTTCCCCATAAAAGTTTTCCCCTCAGGGGCTGGTGATTTAGTTCAGGGGCATAAGCACCTGCCTTGCAAGCAGGCGGTCGTGAGTTTGATCCCCGGTACCAATTTAAAAAAAAAAAAAAAGGTTTTCCCCTCAAATTATACCCACAAGAAATGACCCAAAATGCTGCCCCTGGTCTGTCAGGACACTGAGACTGGTGGGTGTGGATGTGTGACAGAAGAAGGCCACTTTCCTAAAAATGGGCACAGGACACATCTGCAAAGGAGCTTCGCTGTTAACAAGCTTCTGTCTATTAATGTAGAACCCCTCCCCGTGTGAGTTAAATACATTCCATTCTTGGACTGTTCATGTGCTTCTGTGCCCATCTCTTCTATGTAACAAAGCAACTCAGCCCAGTTCCTCTGTCTTGGACGCCACACTCACTTGTAGACTTTCACTTCCTCTGTGGCGAGCACCACCTCCTCATCTGGAGGCAACAGCTGCTGGTCTCACTGCTGCTGTTCAAATTTCTCTGGACTCAACTTCCTAGGAGAATGGAAGCTGCCAGGGGCAAGCTCAGCCCACAGGCCACTTCCCCACCCAGCAGCAGGCACAGGGTCTCGAAGGGAAGTCAAGTTCAAGGCTCTGGGCCATTTGCTTGTGTTCTTATATTCTCTCACCTCTCCTTGTAATTGTCTAATCAGCAAACAGAACAAGCTAAGAGCACAGCATGTGTGTGGGAGATGAGTTTACCCTGAGGGAAGCCAGGATTGTCCAGCAGAGCTGTTGGGTCCCCACCCCCATGCTGTCTGGGAAGAGCTGTTCCTCTAGACCTATGCCATGATAAGCACACAAGCAAGGCCAAATGGGTGAATGGGAGCCTGTGGTCCCAGCCAGAAAGCAAAATGTGGGCCCCAGAGGCCGGTGCTGCCCTCCTTCAACCCACACATTGAGGACAATGCCAAAGACGCTGAACTGAGCCCTCAACAAATCCCTAGGCTTTAAGAAACAAGCAGTGGAGCTGAGGCTAGAGAGGCAGAGACACTGGGCCGAACTGCTAGCTGGATGATGGTGATGGCAGACAGGCAGGAGCAGCCTGAGGTCACCATCACAGGAGGCCAGCAGCACCCTGGGCCCCAAGTTTCCTCTATGATCACTGCACATCGAAGCTGCTAGGCAGTCAGAAGTGACAGGAATGGCCAGCATGAGACACTGGGCAAAATCTCTCAGACTGACTTCTGCAGCTCCATCTCTTTCTGCTGGCACAGCTTGTTCAGGATCTCCACCTTCTGCTGCAGCCTCTTACACTCCTCCTCCAGCCCGGTCTTGGCTGCCCACAGCGTGCCGCAGTCCTCATCCAGCTTCGTGATCTTGTCTGAGAGGTGAGACACATCACCAAGGGCACCGCCAAAGACACACAACCATGCTCCCAGCATCCCTGCCTCATTCATGCCAGTGCTCAACCTGACCATCATGTGGTCAGGGACCTACCTTCCAGGTCACATTTGGCAAACAGGGAGGCTCTCAGCTTCACTTGCAGGAGTTTGAGATCTTTCTGAAGCATAGATATTTCGGTATGTGTCTCAAAATTGTGAGGGAGAGGCACAGGCTTGAAAGTGAGGCACAGTCAGGACTCATGGACCCCTGGGGAGCTCTGTGAAAGGACTCACCCGGGAGACATCCATCAGCTGGTGCATGTGAGTCTTCATCTTATTCTCCTCATCTACAAAGAGAACAAGTGTGGCTGTGTCTTCCTGTGCCGTTTCTAACACTGTTGTCTTGACTTCCACAAAACTAAACTAATGCTCATCAAACACTGTAAAGAAAAACAATTCACCAACAGAAATGACACACTGACTTTTATGACAACTGCACTTTTAGATTTTGTGAGCTCCTGCCAAGACAGCATGCCAGCTGGGCTGTGGCTGAGCAAGCCTAGCTCTGCCACATGATGGTCTAGGGGGAGCTGGCCAGCATGGGTCCAGACTCGTACCCTGAGCACCTTCTGCAGCTGGGGCGGTGCCCTGACCACTTTCCTTATCTCAGACCTTGCTGCTCTCCAGCCTCTGCCCTCACAGCCTGGGTTGTGGCTCCCCCATCCCCACACTCTAGGTGACCCTGGCCAAGGGTCTGAGAACCACAGAACAGCAGAGGCCGTGAGTGTGGACCTGAGTGTCATCTCCAGGAAGCTGAGAAAGTTTCTTCTCTAGCACAGAGGCCAACACAAAGGCAAAGGCTCCAATGTACACATCCGGTTCTCAAGGGGTGGAAAAGCAGCTTTCCCCGCTTGCCTGCTGCTACTGCACCCCAGCAACCCAGACATAAGTACGAATTATTCAGATGTTGGGAGCCATTGAAGCTGGAAACCGACCACACGTGCAGGGCCAGGGCATGGCTGGCCCAAGAACAAAGAGTCCCCAGGGCTACCATGTGAAGAAGCTACCTCAGCCCAGAGAACACCAAGCCCCAAGACAATCTGAACAGTGGGCTGCTAGGACAACAGGGTGTCACATGACATTAAATTGCTAAAAGGTATAAACGCCCCTGCACTGAGGGGCCAGTTCCTTTCTTCCCATCAGGAGGGTAAGGGCTCCACCTGACCCCAGATTTGTCTATTTTCTGATCCTCTTGTGGTCCTTCATGCTAAGAACCTAAAGAGCTGCATGGGTCGGTCAGGGCAAGAAGAAACTCAGCTGCGAAGCAGTATCCATGTATGGAATTAAAGACAAAAATGCTTAGGAGACTGAGGTAGAAAATTTGCTGTGGGTTTGAGGCCAGTGTGGGCTACACAGTGAGTTCAAGGCCAGCCACTACATCACAACCTTGTCTAAAATAACAATAAAGAGAAGACAAAAAAAAAAAAGAGCCCTTGAAGGGATGGGGATTTAGCTCAGTGGCACAAGCACCTGCCTGGTGAAGGCATGGTCATGAGTTAGATCCCTGGTTAAAAAAAAAGGGGGGGGGGCTTGGGCTAGGGCCAGTCTTACCTCCCACTTCTCCATTGGCTAATTTACCTGGCTCACATCTGCCTGGACCTGGACCCTCAGATTCTGATCCACTCTCCAAATGATTCAGCTCCATAATGCAGTTGGGCAGAGCCTAGCAGAGAAGCGAGCGACAGTTAAGAGCCTCTCTAAGCTCACAGTGGGTTTGTTTCCCAAGTGTTCACTAACAGGCTGGGTCGGCCAGGTAACTTACATGGATGCTATCATCCTTATCAGCTAGATCTTTCCAGATCCCGCTGAGACTTCTCCAAGGTCCTGATTTGCTCACTGAGTTTGGCATGCAACTTCTTCCAGTTTCCTGCTGTAGCTGAAAGTCACATGTAAGGGTCCCTGTGGACTGGGACTCCACAGAGACACAGGACCATGCAAGTGGGATGGGGAAGCAGGAGTCGTGTCCCTCCTTGTCCCATCAAAGAGGCTAAGACTTGGTTCAGGACCACAGAGTGTGGCTTCCACCCCGAGCTGTCAAGGAAGCTGTCCCCATCCATCAAGTCCTTCTGAAAAATGCCTGCTGACTCAAATGCCTGACTTCCAGATGGCACACGTGGGCATGTATTGCTGGCGCTTAACAAATTCCCACTGGCATGAACCACTGCAGGGCATGCAGAACTGTCCATACCACCTAATGGGACTATCCTGTGTGTCCTCCTAGCAGGACATGTGTGTCTCATTCAAATGGGAGCTGCCAGCAGCTAGCCATGGAAATTCTGGCCTCAGTGTTGGTTTGTTGAACCCAGATCTCTGATCTAACTTTCCAATAGCCAATGTGAGGCATTAACTATCAGAGGAGGCTTAGCAAAGCCATCCACTATGTTTTAGGTAAAATCGGGATTCAATGTGGTCTAGGGAAAAAAAATCAGCTTAAAAAGCTGAGGGAGATCCTGGAGCAGAGATGGCAGATAGATAACAACTGGCTATGGAAGCTCCCTGCGATAGTCAACTTATAATTCAATAAAATACATACTGGGGAGCCCCAAACAGAGGGAGATGAATTCTCCCATCCCATGACTTGCCAATCATCAGAGGTCCTGCTGTGACTGGCTGATGCTGTGACTTGTCAGGGTCCCGCCGCACCCTGCCAGGGTCCTGCCATGACTTACTGGGGTCCTGCCGCGCACTGCTGGGTCCTTCCGGGCCTTGCCTGGTCTCCCCCATGGCTTGCCAGGTCCCCACCACACCTTGCCAGGTGGCCACCACACCTTGCTGGGGTTCTACCGCCACTGGCTGGGGTTCTGCCGTGACTTACCAGGGTCCCGCCATGACTTGCCAAGCCGTTGGAGGTCCCGCTGTTTGAACTCACTGGAGACGCAGTTATATTGATATGGAGGGCCAGCGAGCTTAAAGGAAAGCTGAGTTGGCGGGGAACCTACATTAACCTGTGGTGAGTGACAGGAGTGGAGCCTTTCCATAAATGGGGGGCTCTGGCGGACGACATTCTGGGACCTGGCATGACTGGCAAGTACAAGGGGCAGCAGTGACTGCAGTCAATTGTCCCCTTTCCAAATGGGATTGGTGGAGTGAGCTAGGCCTGGGTCATGTGAACCGGCTGAGACCCAATAAGTTATCTGAGGTCAAGTCCCTGCAGCGGTGTCGCACTCTAACCACACTGGCCCAGTGGGGCCTTGGAGGTTTGGCTGGTCTGGAGGGGCCATGCAAAGTAATACAGTAGTGCAGGCCACAGCAGCTTGACTGATCTGGAGGGGAGGGGCCAGGATACGCTGTCCCTGTCTGCAACTCACTAGCACACTGCAGTGTGAAGGGTCATCTAGCCAACATGCTTCAGAAGAATTGTAACCAACAAAGAAGGAAACTGGGGCCTCCTGGAAAAAAGCAAAGAAGATGGGAAGATGAAGCAACAACAAAAAGTCCCCAGGCTCCAATTCTGAGAACATTGACCCAGGACAGGTAAATACAAAGGAGAATGAGAACAGCAAACATGCAATATCAGACACAGTGCCAGTGGACATAAAGAGATATATTTGGGACCTCATAGATGAGTTCAAAAGTGAAACGTTTAGCCTAATAAAGCAAGGTATAGGAAGATTAGGTATAAGGTATAAGAAAATTAATAAGAAGATACTAAGCACCCCTCAGGCAGACACAGACAGAAGAAGGGAGGAACTCAAACACAGGAGAGAACCATTTTGTGAAGAATATAAAAAACATATAAAATACATGAAGCAGATTCAAAGAGATCACGAGGAAATTAAAAACTATGGAAAGATGGCAAATCAGCTTGAAAGAAACTAAGGATAGATTATCCAAACTGGAGGACAATTTTGCAATGTGGGAGTATGAAAGGCAAAACTTTTTTAAAATAACAAGGAAACAAGCAGTAATGATACAAAGGCTAAAAGATGACAAAAGGATCTATAACTTGAGCATAAAGAATGTAAGTGAAGAAGCTGGGATACAAAGGAACTACAAAGGTTATTCACAGAAATAATTAAGGAAAACTTCCCAAACATAGGAAAAGGAAATGATATTCTGATATATGAGGCATACAGAACTCCAGCCACCTACAACCAAAACAGAGCTACAACCAGGCATAATCAAGATCCCAGAAGTTGAATATAAGAACAGAATATTAAAAGCTGTTAGAGACAGCAAACAGATAACCTACAGAGGAAGGCCCATCAGAATAATGGCAGACTTCTCCACATAAACCAAGTCAAGAAGAGCCTGGAGTGAAATATTCCAAGCCCTGAAAGAAAATAACTTCCAACCTAGATTGATATACCCTGATAAACTGACTCTAGAAATTAATGGAGAAACGAGATGCTTCCAAGACAAAGAGGAACTTGGGAAATTTGCAACCACCAATTCTCTACAGAGAATACTCCAAGGCATTCTAGAGAGAGAGAAAAGTACTAGGACTCCAGGAACAGTGGCACAGAGGCCTGAATGAATGGAGCAGAAAACAGAATGAAGAAGATAAGCAGACAATGGATGGCAAAAAAAGAGCATAACAGAAATGAGGCAGACAAGATTCTATTCAAAACTCGTATGATTGATAGTATCAAGTCAGAGAGTATAGGCAACTACACTGAAGATGACAAGACTCAATGATACATATTCTGGTTTGATAAATGCCAGTTTTTGAAGTTCTATACTACATACAAAGTTGTGTTTTTATTAATACTGTTAGGTACTGACATATTCAATCATACTATATGCAAGGGTTTTGGCCCAGGCCGGATACTGTAGCCTGTAAAGCCAGGAAGCTCCTATCTCCCCCCACCCTTAGGAATTACCTCTGGTGCCAAACTAAGACCAATGGGCTACCTGTGCATCCCTAATGCCCCCTTAGGTTCCACCCCAGACCGAGGCTACTTATGTGCCTCACTCCACGTGTTCCACAGAGAGATCGCCGGCTCCAGGGTGGAGATGCCACACCCTAGGGGGTCTGGGTTGTCTCTCCCCGCATTCCCAAAATAAAGGTTATTTATATTTCATACTTCTTATCTTTTCAGCCACCACCGCCGGTCCTCCTCCCCGCCCCCCAGTTCTGTCAGATGGTTCCCTGACTGGGAACAGCAGGCGAGAGATTCCTGGGGCTGGTTCCCAGTTTTGAGTCCCCTGCTGTTCAGGACTGACCGAACTGCATCCTGCATTAATTCCTCACTTCTATACTCAGGAACTGTAAGCTTGGCTGCTGGTTCGCAAACAATACCCACCAATTTACCACAGGTGAGCCACTCCCTGGAGACAGCCACTGGGCCAGGCTCAGGTGGATTTTCTCCCCTCTTTGCGTGGGTTCGTGACACTTTCATGTCTTTTAGACAGCCCAAACTAAGGCCTTTCTGGGCAAGCTGATGTCCACTCTGGACAGCCCGCACTGAGAGGCCCTCACATTTTTCCAGAGCTTTTTAAGTTCTCACGGGCAGACAGCCCAAACTAGGGGCTTTCTGGGCAAGCCTGTGTCCGTTCTTGGACTACCCACACTGAGAGAACCTCACTTTAGAGCTTTTTAAGTTCTCACAGCAGAGTGGTTACTCAGCCCATGCAAAGTCCACTCTTAATATTGGTGATGGCCAATTATGAAGCGTTTGGAGCCATATAGCCAACCCGTAGGTCTGGGGTGCAGTGTGACGACTCTAATCCTGACAGACCACGGTCCGTTGCCTTATCTGATTGTAGCCCCATGGGCTAGACCCCACAGCAGATTTTATCTTGGGGACCACTTCCTGACCCCCCCCCCAGAAACCATACCTATTTATGGCTTATCACACTGTCGACAAGCTTACAAAACTATCTTTGTTTTGGGAATGTGCCCTTTCCCTTCCCACCAGCGTGCCTGTCCCTTTGTCTCCTCCAGGATCCCTCCCCCTCCCCGCACTTAAAGAGATAACAGCATCTTCCCTTGCAGCCTCTCGGAGTTTTCTCAGTGCCTCCTTTCCTCCCGGCTTCCCCTCCCCCCCACCATGCTGCCAGTGTCTCTTTGTTTCCCATGAGCGCTTCCCCTCCCCCCCCCTGCGCTGCCAGCGTCCCTTTGTTTCCCATGCATGCCAACTCATCCCCCGCCACTGAGATTAAAAATGAGACCAAGCAATGTTGAGATACATGTAAGATTTTAAACAGCTTTTTGGCTCTTACACCACGCTCCAATTCTGTGCAGTATCTCCACTCTCATGCAGCACTTCAGGTCCACACGGGGTTGATGTTTCTGTGCACCCCACAAACAATTTCAGCTCCATGTGGCAACTCAGCTCCACATCCAACCTGTTCCCCACTGCTCCGGCCTATTCGTGCCGGTGCCGGCCCTTTCTGCTGTTGAGAGATACATGCGGGACTGCTTTTCAAACAGTTTTAGGCTCTCGCATGCTTTTAGCACTGCGTCCTGGGCCACGTGTCCCGCGAGCGGCTCCCGCCAGCAGCTCCTGCGGGTGGCCATTCATCGGCTGGCGGCCGCACACCTCTGAGAGCAGAGCCACACTTGGCTAAGGGCTGTGGCGCATCTCCCAGCCCCACCACCACTGCTGCCACCCCACCCCACCGCCTTAGCCCTTTGCGCTGTGCTCTGCTGGCTCCATTGCCAGTGGGCCAGCCCCTGAGCCCTGAGCTCAGCACTGCAGCCACTGTGAGTCCACCCGCCATTGCAGCTGACACCACACACACACCTACCCCCGCCATTGTAGCTAAAATGCGTATTTCCCTGCACCGTCCCAGTGCCATCGTCACCATTTCCGGGTGTGATCTCAGCCCACCCCTGCACACTGTGTCCCAGCGCTCACCCCACCCACTCTGTGTATTCCATCTCAGCCCGCCCCTGCGCACTGTGTCACGACACTCACCCCACTCTTCATGTTCCATCTATGCGCTGCATGCCCAATAACCTCAGCCCTGCCCCAAGCATGACTATGCTCTCTCTACAGGCAAACTCTGTCTGCCTCAGAGTTCCAAACTGCCTTAGACACTGCGCGTTTACAACATCTCGCGGCATGCGTTTACAACATCTCGCGGCTCTGCTCAAACATATTTTTTTTTTACAATTCAGTTCCACTCAAGAGAGGCTATTTTTCTTACAATTTTCTACCATTTATTCAAGGTTGGTGGCCACCTGGTAATTTTACCAGCCTTGTTTATCAATTAAAGTCTACACTAATCTCCTGTTTTAACCACTAAAATTAAGAGAGATTTATCAATTCCTTTTTGCTGGAAACCACTAGCTCTGTTCCAAGACAAGGCTTTTGTTAAAAATTCTAATGTTGTCCACCACCAGTAATGTTCTCTGTTAAATTTATTGCTTCTACTCTACTGTGTTGTCACCAATCTCCTGTTTAACAACTAGGTTATAATAACTTGAGAGTATATAAAAAGTTATATGAGGCTCAAAAAGATATAATTTTTAAAAGCTTCAAAAGCTGGTAACTTGAGAGTATATACTAAGTTAATACATTTATTCATAGGATTGGTAAACCTTTACTGCAAAATGTTTCCATTAAAGCCTTTTTTGTTAATTCCACGTGGCACCCTATAAAAAGAGTTATAACATCCAGATAGAGCCTGCTTTCTAATCTAAAATGCCAATATTAAGCTCCTACATACTTAAATTCTACAGATACCTTTTACTGTAGTCCAGATCTCAAGCAACAAGACAAAACTTGACCTTCAAGCTCCACAGAGACCTTGATATGGTTTTTCATATTTTAAATAACACTTGCAGTTCTGAGACAGACAAATCTACACAAGGTAGAGCTACCTGACCCCCCCCCCATAGAACATGCTCAAATGTAGCAGAAGACATTGGGCAAAACAATGCCCCATCCTGGCATTCTCTAAGACCTTACTCCAGGGCTGCTGGGCTGTCTGGCCACCAGAGAGTGGGTGAGCCATCCGAACTTCTAGCCCTCACAGTACACTGCCAGATTCGTCACTGACAAAAATTGCTGCCAAAGACTGAGAGGGGCTAAGGGCCAAAACATCCCGCCTTTGTGGGTGTCTGTCTCAGAGTCCAAGTCACATTAAAACTCTCAAGGTAAGACATTCCCTATATTTGTGGACATAGAGGCCATATATACAGAGTTCTTACTGAGTTTTCAAGCTACTATAATAAATCCTCAATGTCTGATGGAGTATTAAAGGTCAACGTATGTCATTTACAAACAGGGCCTATTTTGTGCAGGTCCCAGTCCTAAATCTTAAAAATGCTTTTATTCCCTTTTATACAGGCTGACAGATACATTTTGTCTTCTCACTTTGTTTATACTTTGGTAACCTCAACAGCAATCAAAGTTGCTAGACAGCCATCCTGGTTTCACATCACTCAGGCCCTAGATCTGACCATCCTTTTCATACTCATCTCTGTCTCACCAAGGCCTCACGGCCATGACTCACAGGTTGTCATGTTTTGTTATCCACTTTGGTTCCTAATTTCTTATGTTCTGTTAATGATCATTTCTATAGCAGGACTCTTTAACAGTATTGCCTACAACATCATATATACCAGAGACAAGCCTTACCAACCTACCTTTTAAATGTTATGCTTTCAGAAGGGGGAGTAAGCACCTCTCATAACTTTACTCCTCCTAATCCCATGTTTAATTTTCAGAATTCTGCCTTCACATCCATAACTTCACTCCTCCTAATCCCATGTTTAATTTTCAGAATTTTGCCTTACTGTGGAAATGATCCTACCTCAACGTTGTCCTGATAAAATGATGTGTCTAAATCTAATACACCTTTCCCTCTACCTCACTTGGGTCCTTAAATATGACAGTGCCATGTCTTCTCATAACATCTTGTCTTTTTGTTTTTTTCAGTCTAACATACGTACATTCACCAGTGAAGTTGTCCTGGCTAAAACACCTGGCACCAGCTTCTACCTGGGCATCAACTGTCATCCCGTCAACTCCCCTAGACTCCAGTACAGCGCCCTCAGCCAGCAGGAAGTAGTTAAAGAGAGAAATCTTCGCCCCTTTTCATAATAATCGTAAGATGGGATATGAAAGGGTTTTGGCCCAGGCCGGATACTGTAGCCAGTAAAGCGAGGAAGCTCCAATCTCCCCCGACCCTTAGGAATTACCTCTGGTGCCAAACTAAGACCGATAGGCTACCTGTGCATCCCTAATGCCCCCTTAGGTTCCACCCCAGGCTGAGATTACTTATGTGCCTCACTCCACGTGTTCCACAGAGAGATCGCCAGCCCCGGGGGTGGAGATGCCACACCCCAGGGGGTCGGGGTTGTCTCTCCCCGCATTCCCAAAATAAAGGTTATTTATATTTTATACTTAGCTTTTCAGCCACCGCCGGTCCTCCTCCTTCCCCCCCCCCACAGTTCTATCACTATGTCTGATGATATAGCCACTTCTATTGGAGATAACAAGAGACAAAACAGAAACTATGGTAGAATGATTTGTACAATGGTCCTATTTTTTTTGTTTCATGTGTATATAGATATTAAAAGTAACAATACGCATTAATGCCTGCTTCTGTTTTTAGATTATAATCCCAAAAAGAGAAGGATGTTTACCTTGTGTTTAATTGTTTGATGAGAATTTTTTCCCTTGGTCTCCAGAATAAGCTTCTTCGATTCTGCGATCTGTGTAAAAAACACATTCAGAACTAAGTAACAGAAGTCACTCTGCTTCTAAAACAAACCTTGTTCCAAGGAAGCGAGCAGAGCATTTGCTTTATAAATGATGGTGCGTAAGATCTGGAGGGCTCAGGGGAAATAATGAAGCGAGAACACAGGCCTTCAAAATACCATAATAACTGAGCTACACCACAGACACGCTAGAGGAGGGGCCGTGAAACAGGTTCTACCTTCTGTTGATAACTTGACACTTTTTGGACAATTCTGCATTGTCCTTTGTGGTATTTTTCACCTTCTCAGCTATCTGCTGTTCAGTGACTAAAAAGAGAAAAAAGCCAGTATTAAGAGCACTAAATGGAGCTGAGCTGCACAGTGTCTCAGCAGCAAGGACTCGTGTGAGGCTCCGTGAGAGGCTTCATGTGAGGCTTCACACAGCTACCTGCCTTTCCAGAGAGACCCGCAACTAACAGCAACAGTGCACAGGACACTGTTAAACTTTAAGAAAACTATAGTAACACTTGTTTTGACGAGGTAGCAATTTACTGCAAAGGCAGGAGATACAGTGAAATGTTACATAGTTGGAAAGGCTCCCTTCACAAAAGGCACTTGTTCTCTGAAAACGGAATCACTTCAAATGAATGTCATTTGCAAAGAGAAATAGCAACTTCAAGCTACTGATCTACACCACTGTCTCTCGAGCTCCTGTGCTGATAAACCTATAGGGGCCGAGGTGTCCCTAGCACAGACACACTGTCCTCTCTCCACACCTGTGTGGTCCAGCCACGCTCAGTCTGCTCCATGTAAGCAGACACCCCCTGCCCCCACATCTCCTATCTCAGGCAGTACCATCATCCTCTCCACTATACCATGGTTAGTAGCAACAGTAAAATGTGGAGCAGTTAGTAAGTCAAATCAGACACCATGGGAGAACATGGCGGACAAATAACAGCAGCCATAGAGGCTCTCTGAGATTACCAGTTTAGAATCCAGGAGCGGTGCCATGTGAGGAGTCCTACGTGAGGGGAGATGTACCCTGCCGACCTATGAACAAGCTAAGTTGAGAGAAACCAACTGGAAATGCAGTCCTGATGCTATAACAGGAACAGATAAAATCTCAGTGCGGAAGCTGGATCCCGTGCCGTTGGAAGCCGTGATTTGAATTTCCTGCTGCCGATACTGCACGGCAGGGAGAGAGACATGCGAAAGCTCTGAGAGCTGGAATCGGCAAACCAAACAGCATTGAGAGCGGGACTGGCAGGGAGCCCTGCATCAACCTGTGGTGAGTGAGAGAAATAGGGACCCTTTCATAGACTAGGAGGCTCCAACAGAGGACATTCTGGGAATGAGCAGACTAGCCGGAACAGGGCCCTGCAGTGACTTTATTCGCTTATTCCCCTCTCAAGCAGGAGTGGTGGGGAGCACTTGGCCTGGTGACGCCGCGGACTAAGATCCAGTAGGCTAGCCCAAATCAGGTCCCTGCACCAGGTGGTGCACCCTCACAGTGAAGCATTCAGTAGGTTGACCTGGAGGGGTGGGCCAAGCAGAGGCTGCCCAGGTCTGTGTCTCCCTAGTACACTGCAGTGGTGGGAAACACCTAGCCAGCGGATTCAAACAAACTGTAACAGACAAAGAGAAAAAAAAAAAAAAACTGGGCCTCCTACAGATGCCTGTATGGAAAAAGTATGGGAAAAGGGAGCAACAAGAAAGGGTCCTCAGGCCCCAATCCTGAGAACCCTGATCCAGGAAAGGTAAATGCAAAAGAGAATGAAGACAGAAAACATGCAATATCAGACACGGCACCTATAGACATAAAGCAGTATCTCTGGAACCTCATAGATGAGTTCAAAAATGAAGTATTTAATGAGATAAAGCAAGAAATAAGTAGAATAGTTAGAGAAATGCTAAGCACCACCCAAGAAAAAACAGATGGTTGAATGGAACAGAAAAAAAGGGGAGAATTGTTTGATGGAGAAAATAGAGAAAACATAGAATATGTGAAGCAGGTTCAAAGAGATTACCAGGAAACTAAAAACTCTATTGAAAGCTGGCATAACAGCTTGAAAGAAACTAAGGATAGATTATCAGAACTGGAGGACAGATTTGTAATGTGGGAGCCTGAAATGAAAAACTTCTTAAAAATAACAAGAAAAAGCAAAAATACAAAGGCTAGAAGATGATAAGAGGATCTATAACTTAAGAATTAAGAACATAAAAGAAGAAGTAAGGACTCAAACAAATGAACTACAAAAGCTATTCACAGAAATAATCCAGGAGAATTTCCCTAATTTAGCAAAAGGTAAAGATACTCATATGTATGGGGCATACAGGACCCCAGCCACCTAAAACCCAAACAGAGCTACATCCAGGCATATAATAATCAAAATTCTAGAAATCCAATATAAGAACAGTATATTAAAAGCCATCAAAGACAAGAAACAGATCACTTACAAGGGAACACCCATCAGAATTACAGCAGACTTCTCGGCACCAACCATCAAATCACAAAGAGTGTGGGGGGAAATAATTCAAGCTTTGAAAGTTAATAATCTCCAGCCAAGATTGATATATCCTACACAACTGTCCCTAGAAATTGATGGAAAAACAAGGTGCTTCCAGGATAAAGAGGAACTAGGGGAATTTGCAACCACCAATTCAACTCTACAGAGATTACTGCAGGATATTCTAAAAATAAAAAATACCAAAATTCCAGGAACAGTGGCAGAGAGGCCACAATGAATGGAGCAGAAAGCGAAATGAAGAGGACAAACTGACAACTAATGACAGAAAAAGAGCTCAACAGAAATGAGGCAGAGAAGGTTGGAGAAAACCAACCTTGCCATTTGGAGAAAACAAGACATCATAATAGGTAGTGCTGATTTAATATCCTCTTGTTTTGAAGTCTCATCAAGCTTTTGTTCTTCTGTCTCCATCCGTTTGAATGTGTTGTATCTTATTGGATTTTATTATATGTGATAATATAAACAAAAGCTTTTATAGACAAGGAGATTATACAGAAACCATTGTTCATTTTCTGTTAGTTGATTCTAAATACCCTGTAATACTGTCATTCTCTTGAACGGTTTTACATTGTCTTGATATGTTTGATGCTACAGTATACGAAGTTATACCCAAAGGTTTTAAAGGAAGAGACACTATGGTAACTACTATTATGTCGAGATTATCTTGTGGTGAAACACTATTTTGCTTAGATGGCTATGTTTTGACCTGCCCTGTTTTGTTGTTATGCCCTCTTTTTTATCTCAATCTCCTTTTTATTATCCACTTTTTCATTTTTATCCTTTTAATTAAGGGCAAAAATAAATAAGAAATAGCAGGATATATTATAGTAACCCACTTTGATTTACTATTAACTTGATTTGAAACTCTGTATTGCTCTCACCATCTTGTTTTGACTGATTTTCCTCTATTCTGTTATGCTTGATAGTACCAAGCATACTGAAAGTATAGGCAACAACTATGAAGACAATAAGATTCATTGTGACATCCATTCTGGTTGACTATTACCTTCTTTTGAAGTCCTCTAATGTCTCCAATGTTTTGGTTTTATTGGTCTTATTCTTTACTGTTTTGTTCAATTTTATTATAACTGATGATATAGGCAATTCTTTTTAAGATAACAAGAGGCATTATGGTAACCATTGTTGATCACCTTGTATTTTGTTTTTACATTATGTATTATGTCCATCCTTTTGATTTGAATGACTCTGTCCTGGTATGTCACATTTGATTTTACTTTCTTCAAAAAAAAAAAAGTAATAAGAACTGTGGGAGCAATAAAACCCAAAATGTGTAAGTGTCATTGTACAACAGAAAGGAAAAGAAAGTTCTCTAAAAGATATAACTGCATATATATTTAAGTGTATAAGATAGATAACCATATTACTGAGTTTTTTTGGATCATTGATCAAAACTGTTTGCAGTCTCACTGTTTGAAAATCCCCTCTATAAGCTTTAATTTTGTAACTTCAACAACTATTTCTAAGATGACAATATGTAATTAACTAGTGATTTCCTACTGTTTATTTTTTCTGAAATTCTGTATAACTTGTACCCTTTTTCTGTTTTTTTTTTTTTCTTTTTTCGCCTTAAATAAATTTTTTTAAAAAATCAGACACCAAAGTCATGGTCTCTCCTAGCCTGCCTAAAAGTCCTACCACACACCAACAGGAAGAGATTTACCTTGGTATATTCTCTCCTTGAACTAGAATAGAAAGAGAGAATTAAATTTATGTCAAACATTTGATTAAAAAAATACATAGTTCCTAACACAAGTCAGGATCATAACCAAATGAAGTAACTGTTTAGTTCAGGATAAATCCATACATTTAAAAATGTATTATAAATAGCCTCTGATACAGAAGGACAGTAAAGCGTGTGTCTTACTTCACAGCTACACACAGGTTTATGTGCCAGTACCAAGTGAACACGAAGCTTATGAGATGAGCCTTTGTCTTCAACAGTGAAATGCTTGTTTTTATAATATGCACATTATTGATTTACTTACTCAGAATTACTTGACAATCCTGAACAGCAAGCATGCAGTCTAGAAATGGTGACCATATGGGAGACTGGCAAGCGAGATTACCAGCATAACCTTTGCACTAAGATACACCTCTCACTCACTGGAAGATACCTCAGAAACCCTATTTCAACTGATCTATTGACTCCATTAACAAATAATCTAATACATCTGATCATCTGATTTCCCCAGACCACAAAAACAGTAATAAATCTAAGCGGAAGGGAAGACACCAGAACAACACAGAAAAATGACAGCTAACGGCTTCCAGGAAGAGCACAGACCCAGTTCTTCCTCCCAGTGACTTCTGGGGTCATAAATCCTAAACTGTAACTAATTAAATACCACAGCAGCGATCACTGCACTTCTCTGTAGCACAGACTCTGTCTTCTCCTTCCGAGTGCTATAAAACAAAGTGTAGGTCAGCAGAGCGCAGTGGCCATGGGGGCGGGGGGAGACTGTCCTCTCCAGGATGAGGAGTAGTGCCTCAGAGCCATGCAACCTCAAGGAGTGGGAGGAAGTGAGCCCAGGTGCAGGGTGTGAAGCTGCAGGGCTGAGCCTGAGAGCCCTGCTGGGAAGCAGCTGCAGGGGAGCAGAAGGAGAGGAGCAGGGGAAACAGCACGTTTTCACCCACACACACTTCTGCTTACCCTTCCAGGTGTTCTTTCATGCAAGAAGCTGTTCAGTGAGATTCGAGAAGTCCTCACAGGAATCTTTAATAAGGTGCTTTAATAAGGTTTTAGGATTATTTTTGGTACCGGGGACAGGGCCTTCACAATGAACTACATTCTCAACCTTCCCCATTAATTCTTGAGACAGGCTCTTGGTAAGTGACCAAGTTGCCCAGGCTGGGCTTAAACTTGCACTTCTCCTGCCTCAGCCTCCCGCTCCACCAGGGCTGCAGGAATACACGCACCACTATGCCTGATCTTGCCTCGACATTTCTACCATCTTACGGTATTTCTTGCCCTGTATGTTTCTACAACACAGTTTATCAACACCTCACGGTCCATTTCCACTTTTCCCACTTCACATTAAATTGTGAACACCTTTTTCCCCCCTGCCTTTGAAATACACACAGCAGTCTATTCTCTTCTGTGGATATAAATAAGATGAAACATGATATTCCCTAATATAGATCATTTAGGTTTCGCCAAGTTATTACTCTATTAAATACTATTTTATCTAACACCTTTGTATAAAATCTTAACATGTAATTTATTTAAGATCGTTTACTGACATTATCATACCATATGAAAACAATTTATTTGTTATCCTGTTTTGTATCCCATTTTAAAGGCTTGTGATATATAGAATTATTAAACAGCTTTTCAAGATGGCTGTATGAGTCCCCAACTCTACTAACAAGTGGATATGCTTAGCTTGCTCTTAAGTCCTTGCCAATACCAAGATTACATTAAATTACTTGAGAAAACTATAACTACTGATTTATGTTAATAACTGAAAGGGCCAATGATAATAGAATGCTCGATGTATTCAGAAGTCAAAGAACAAGTTAATTGACTCACAGCAAGGACCATCCTCCAGAAGAACATGGCAAAAGAAATGATTCCCAATCAGGCAGTGAACAACACAGGCTTCCAGGGGAGCCCATAAAAGTCAGGCCCAGGCTGAACATGCTCAGACAAGGTAGCAACCAGCTGAAAAGGGCAGGCACAAATAATGGAAACGTTAACAACTGGCAGAACAATCACAAAAGATCATCGCAGATACTCTCAATCTCCTCTCAATAGCCTAAACCAACTTCCAGATGCCCTGAAGAAATTGCCAGAAAGGGGATACAGGGAGGCTCGTGTTCTTGTCCGGTGTGTGGAGTCTCTAAACTTATGGAGTGAGTTGAGCCTATTTCCCAGTTGGCAACAGGCCCTTGTTCATCGTGGTGTCTCACACATGGCCAGAATGTGTCCGGATCTTGCTTAGGTGAGCTGTTTTCTATTACTGCACACACACACACACACACACACACACACACACACACACACACTGTAAATACATGATAGAAGCCAGCGGTTTATGTGGCTGCAAACAAAACGACTATGACAATGATCGCCACATATCAGGCATCACTCCTCCAGGATGCTGTGTCTCAGTTCGCTGCACCCTTAGGCTGCATGCACAGGTGGCGGCGTGAACATGGCTCCCAAGGCGATTGCTGCTTTTGCCCCACGCTGATTCCTCAGGACAGCCCAGCCATCTGCCGTCCACACCACGCTCCTGCCTGCCAGTGAGGTACGGCTCTTCCGAGGGACCCATGGCCCTGCTCCCACTGGCGGGCGACCCGCACCCCTCGCCCGGCCCTGGTTCCTGGCCTCACCTGTAGGAACCAGGCTACAAGGGCCCCGTACAGCATCTGGAGGGGCTGCAGCAGCTTAGGGATGCCTGGGGCCATGTTGACCACGAGCCCAGTGGCTGACACCACGTCCATCGCGAAGGACTGCTCCCTGCGGACCCTGCCGAACCGGGCCGGACCCGGCCGTGGCAAGCGGTCCTTCCCAGAGGCGGCAGGGAGCAGGACTGCACAGCTATACCTCCTGCTTCTTGCTGCACTATGAGCCATAAACACAGGTCACAGACGGTCTACAGGGCGATGCTGCCTCGCACCTGCAGAGATGGGGTGGGGCGAAATCTGGGCACAGCGCGGGGTGGGGCGGGAGCATCCAGTGAGTGAGGCCAGGGGCTGGAGCACCCAATGAGTGAGGCCGGGGGCGGGGTCCTGTGGCCTCAGAGGAATTCTCAGCGGGTAACTGTGCTAGGGCACCTCTCAGGCGCCCTCACCCCTGGACCAGGATGCCAGGCCTCGCATGCGCCACTACATGGCTGTGGGCCTGACTGGCATCTCTGCTGGGTGGGACTGGGCCACGCATCAAAGGTCAGACCGTGGGCGCGGCGGGTCACCTCAGAGCTGGGGCTGCGGGGGCAGGCAAGCTGCAGGGCTCCAGCATACCGCCGCTGGCCACATTGCACGTGGCTGGCCTGGTAGGTGATGGAGCCTCCCCTCCTTATTCACAGTGTGGATTAAAAGGATCAGCAATTGATGGCAAAAACAAATGCCTATATCAAAAAAGTGATGGGTGATTTTGGGTGGTTTTTTTTGTTGTTGTTTTTTGGGGGTTTTTTTTTGTTTGTTTGTTTGTTTTTTGTTTTTTGTTTTTTGGTACCGGCGATCAAACTCATGACTGCCTGCTTGCAAGGCAGGTGCTTATGCTGCTGAGCTAAATCCCCAGCCCAGGGTGATTTTTTTCTATGTACTCAACAGGTCTTTCCTGATTATGACTCAAAAATCAAGAAGCAAAAAGGGAAAAGACTGTAAATCTGATTACTTAACACAAAACAAAGAAAACATGGAAACGAAATTTTGTAAATGGGTAAGGGGAGGAGGCATTGAACGGAGAGTAGGGGAATGGGAAAGGAAACAGTACCATGTATAGGTACAAATCCTCTCTGATGATCATTAGGTATGTCCGAAATGTACCAATAAAATCTAATTGAAGTGAAAAAAAACAAAGCTTGCTCAGCCCCTGCCTACAGAAACAAAACACACAGAGAACAAGCTAGTGAGGCTCAGAAAAGATGTGTAAGTTAGCTGTGCCACGTGAACACTCTCTGCATGGCTCCTAACTGCACAAACCCGCGCTGAGACCGCTGAGACCGCTGAGCCCTGAGCAACTCTGGAGAGAGATGGGGTGGGGGCGCTCTCACATGGTGCCTAGCTGTATGGAATGACAGCCCTAAATGACCGCTGCAGACCTTGCTTGGACCCGCCTCCAGATTTTCCTATGGACCCAATCTCACTTTCTCCGTGGTGCTGGAGATAAAATCCAGTGCCTTGCACATGCGAGGCAAGCTCTCTACCACTAAACCATACCTTGCGCCCAACAATCCCAACTTCTGAAAACGTATTTCAAAGACAGAATACAAAACACAAATGTTGGAAACACATTCATGAAACTTTGTAATTCCACAATTATTTGTAACAACAAAAGACTGGAAACAAAATGTCTATTAATAAAACAGCTATTGAATAAGTATGCTATGAATAAAGAAGAAATTGCATATTCTGCTATGTATATAAAAACAAAGTTACTACTTCTAACTTTCATTTAGATCTTACCCGATTTTATTCACATATACTCATGTTGTCTGAAAATACAGATTAAAGTTTGCATCTTCCAATCTGGATAAATTTTCTTTCCTCGGTGCACCCCTCACCAGTGGTGAATTGCTGTAGTAAGAATGGACATCTTGTTTCGTTTTTGATCTTGGGAAGAAGCACCCAATCATTCACCACTAATCATGAGGTAGCTGTAAGATGGGATCAGAGGCTGGTTTATATTCTTTTCTATTCTTAGTTTGTTGACTGTTTTGTGTGGCAGTACTGGGGACTCAGCCCAGGGCTTTATACATGCTAGGCAAGCCCTTGCACCTGCAGTGAATAGCATGTAACGTAATTACAGTAAAAGGGGCTTCAAGCTGTAAACCACAGAATGCCACTGCCCAGATGTAAGGTCACTAAACAGCCATCTGCAATAAAAATTAGTGTAGAATGTTTACAATATTAAGTCTAGAAATG